ATTAAAAACCTGTAAAAATCATCTTCAATTCTTACTCTTTCAAAGGGTGTCTAAATTTAATTGGTATTTGATGCAAAGGTTTATATTGTATATGACAAAATACTTTTAAATGAATGGAAACATTGGATATATTTTTTTTCTTCCTTTTTTTGGGGGGGATTATAACCCTAATTGTCACTGGAATTACAAGCATTCATTTCTGTTAGTGTTCATTTTCTCATTCTCACTTGTCAGCTCAAAATGTCCTGTTACTGGCATGCATTTTTTTCCCTTTTTTTTTTAAATAATTATTATTTTTTTTTTTTATCTGAGTTATCCCACGCTGCCTAATATTGTGTTCTTTCAGTTCAGTTCAGACAACAAGTACGAATTTTGCAGTAAAAAAATCTGTCCGTCTGTTTCTGACCAAGTGCCTTATTTCAAGTGCCTTCATTTACTGTAAATACAGGAGGAATTATTTTCTGTGTAATTAACTTAAGGCCATCATACAGTATGTAATCATAATTAGTGCTATTTAATTAGTTGTATGGATGGTCACACAGATAATTGTATTCTCTTTCACGATTTGTGCATCTTATGCTTATACAGGAAATAAATTACACATAATGTATTTCTATTATATATTTTATTTCCACAGACAACCCAAAATAGCCTAATAAGGGACATGTCATGTACAGTCGACTTTTAAATAATTAGCATAAAACCTATCTTTAGCATATGATAAAAATCTAAAATAGACTTTACGATAAGGCCACATTAACTTTAACATTAGTTAATGCATCATAATATTGGTTCAAGATGGCGCCGAGCATGGCAGCCGTGTTGCGAGCATTGCACATTGTCATCTGTTGATGTCTGTATGTTTATATGTAAATTGTTTCTGCACTGTCTGGAGCACGCTCCCAAGAATTTCACTCACCAAGGCACGTGTGCTGTGGTGATGTGACAATAAAAGTGACTTTGACTTTGACTTTGACATAATGAGCAATATATTTTATAACATTTATCATGTTAGGTAATAAAATTGTACATTGTTCGTTCATGTTAGATTACAGTTTCTAATGTTAAAAGAGAACTTTTGATTTTAAAGGTATCTAATTTACTAATAAATGCTGTAGAAGTGTTAATTGTTCATGCTAACTAATGCAGCTGACCTTGCTGTAAAGTGTGAATGATATTGCATTTGTGCTGTTTTCTCTAGTATTAGGATTATGCTGTTTTTATTTGGACTGAAGCTCCTCCTAAGAGCTTAAAAATGAAATGAAGCTACAGAAAGATTTTTTTTTTTGTGCTTTCTTTGAACAGTGGTTGTTCAAGAATTAAACATTAAAGTTTGTGGAGCAGTATTTATTTTGTAAACAAAATGTAAAGGAAAAAATATTGAGAACCACTGCAAATCTTCCTTGCTATATCTGAGATTTTTCAAACGCAGATCAATCGTATAAGATACAATTATAATGAACTAATGAACTTGTAATTTGCATAAATAATTTGTTTAAATCCTCCTGGCCCGTTTGATTTTCAGTCAAATTCATAGTGTTGCTTTTTATGACCGTCATTTCGAGCACTACAAAAAAAGAGGAAAACGGTTCATCACAGGAGTCATGTTTAAGTCATAAGCTTTTCATAATACATAGTTTCGAAGCAGCTTCACAGAAAGGTATGTCCCAGTGGTTCAAGGTCTTTAGGCCAGTGATCAACTTTACAAGAAAATACTTTTAGAGACTTTAATCTCTAATAGGCTACCCCAGTGGCCAAGCAAAGGTAACTTGAAAGGAAAAACCTGTAGAAGATGTTTAGGTATTACAGGGAAAATCTTAAGAAAAACAAGACAACCGGGGAGCCCAACAAATTATTGTCCATATGATAGTTATAAATAGCGTTATAATACTATTGACAGTCATTTATATGCGCAGTTTGGATTGTCGCATAAAAAACCGCTGGATGGAAACGCCAAGATGCGCATAAATTCTAAAAATGCGCACAATTGAGTAGGATAAACTTTTTATTCGATAAGAAAAAATGCGCATAAACTACAATGGAAACACATTTACCGAATAAATTCCACCGTGCGCATTGAAAAAGTCATGTGACTGCGCTATGAGACGGGATAACTTGACTTACCAGCGGACCGATTTCGTTAACGTATCTATATGTTGTTTGGGTGGTTCTGAAATGCCTGAGGAAAGTCTGTCATCAAAGTATTTCTGTATAATTACTGTCTTACATGAACAACCAAACAGCAGGCATCCACATCTAAAAGCAATGACCTCATTTATTGTGTTACGTCTGCTCTCTCTGAAGCGCAAGTAATTACAAATGAAAATTATTATATTCAGTGGCTTTTCCTATTTTTCTTAGAGATATTTAATGCCAGTTTATCAGGAAGTGACAATTTGTTCTCTTTGACTCGTTGGATGGAAACGGTGCGTTATTCGCAAATGTTTTATGCGATATTCCAGTTTTGCGCATAAGTTAAATTCGCATCTTTGGATGGAAACAGTAGGTTTACATATCCCTAATAAGTCTGTATGTGTGAACGGCGCGCGACGCAACTCGAAAGGTCATGCTTCTTTCAAAATACAAGCCTTCACACATTTTTCAGTTGGCACAGCGGCGATTTAAAATCACTCGTTAAAACAGTAAACTTAATATAGAGTTTGGATTTTTTTTTTTTTTTCAAAAACAGTAGGCAGGTCAGCGTTACGTGGTTTACATGAGAAGGGCTTATAACAAAAATAAAACCGATGACTTTTAACATGGAAAAATGTGTGGTCAGCTTTTATGTCGTAGCAGATCGACTGCGAATTCACAGTCGTTACATTTTTGCAGCCAGTGAAATATTATTGATCCTTCCTAAATAACGCATTTTAAATATTCGGTGAGTAGTTTTTGTATTTTTTTTCTTCAACAATGACCTTTGCTTATTTTTCGCGCATTTATTCGAAGACCCGTTACCGCCGCCCTCTGAGTGTCTAGGCCGAGCAAGGCTCTCTGCAGTGCGGTCTGTCCTCTGTCTACTTCGAGGATTTTCCATCACATTTCATAAATCTCTGCGCGTGTGTTGGGTTTTCTTGAGTCGCAGTGCCTTGCATCAATGATTTCTATGAAAAGAAATCAAACCGCGTTGTTGCGGATTAAATGGGAACATTTAAATTATATTGTATTGTTCGTTGAGATATTGCGGCCACAAGCACATAATAAACCCAAACCTAAACATCACTGCAGCTCTCTGGTCGCGCTGGCTATTTTTAGGTCAAAGTTAAAGTTTTAATGATATTGTATCATAGCTGTAGTGTGTTGCATACATTTTTTACACAATGAAGACGAATGATTTGCAATATTTAGTTGTTTACATTTAGTTAAAAATATATATAAAAAAAAAAAAAATATATATATATATACATACATACATACATACACATATACACACATATATACTGTTTTGAGATCAATACGATTTTTAATGTGTTTTAAAGAAGTCTTCCATTCATCAAGGCTGCATTTATTTGACCAAAAATACAGAAAAAAACGTAATATTGTAAAATATTATTACCATTTAAAATATTTTTTTTATATTTTAATATACTTCAAAATATAATTTATTTCTGTGATAGCAAAGCTGAATTTTCATCAGCCATTACTACAGTCAGTGTCACATGATCCTTCAGAAATCATTCTAATATACAGATTTATTATCAGTGTTTGAAACAGTTTTGCTGCTTAAATATATAGATATTGGAACCTGTGATACTTTTGCAGGATTATTTGATGAATAAAGTTAAAAAGAACAGCGTTTATTTAAAATAGAAATCTTTTCTAACAATATAAGTCTTTATTATCGCTTTTTAACAATTTAACACATCCTTGCAGAATAAAAGCATTAATTTCTTTCAAAAAAGAAAAACAAAGTACTGACCCCAAACTTTTGAACTGTAGTGTATGTTACAAAAGATTTCTATTTTGAATGAATGCTGTTCTTTTTGACGTTTTATTCATCAAATAATCCTGAAAAAAGTATCACAGTTTCCAAAAAAATATGAAGCAGCAAAATTGTTTCCAATATTGAAATTAAATCAGCATATTAGGATGATTTCTGAAGGATCATGGGACACTGAAGACTGGAGTAATGATGCAGAAAATTCAACTTTGATCACAGCAATAAATTATATTTAAAGTCAATTGTCAATTTAAGTCAATTTAAGTCACGTTACCACCACAGGAAGCTATTGGAAGTGCCGCTCACTGGTTGAGTGCTGAAATTGTCATTTTGCCTAAGGACAATCTACACTTCGGCCTGCTCACATTGACAAACAGACAACTGCCCTGCACTGACGCCATGGAGTGAGTCACAGTCATCAACACTTTATTTCCGTGTCAAATATTGTGTGTGGTTTCTGTGTATAAATGATTTAGCAATAGTATTGCCATTTTTGGGTTGATAATCTAACTAGACCATCCACAAATTAGCATCAAGCAGCACAAAACACTATACTAGTTATCATAAAGTGGAATATGCTCAATTTTACTAGCTTTCCCTTTGGAAATATGCTAATGCTTCTTCCTTCCTATTCCTGCCCTAGTCGTCCTCCCAGCACTAGTCAGCTGTTGGCCAGCAACGTCACAAATAAGACCGACCCACGGTCACTGAACTCAAGGGTCTTCATCGGGAACCTGAACACTGTACTGGTTACCAAGGCAGATGTTGAAGCCATTTTTAGCAAATACGGCAAGACTGTTGGCTGCTCTTTGCACAAGGGCTATGCCTTCGTCCAGTACGCCAACGAGAGGAACGCACGGGCAGCTGTAGGAGGAGAGGACGGCCGGATGATTGTTGGACAGGTGCTCGGTGAGGATTAAGCAGCAAAAGTGTTTTTAACTTTAATAATAATAAGCAATGTTTCTTGAGCAGCAAATCAGCAGATTTCTGAAGGATCATGGGACACTGAAGACTGGAGTAATGATGCAGAAAATTCAACTTTGATCACAGCAATAAATTATATTTAAATTATATTAAAGTATATTAAAATCGAAAACCATTATTTTAAATTGCAAGAATATTTCACAATATTAGTTTTTTTTCTGTATTTCTGATGAAATAAATGCAGCCATGATGAGCAGGAGAGACTTCTTTAAAAAACATAAAAAAATCTTACTGATCCCATACTTTTGAACGGCAGTGTATATACATATACATAGATATACATATATATTATGTACATACATACACACACACACACACACACACACATATATTGTTGGACAGGTGCTCGGTGAGGACATAAAAAAAAAATCTTAGACTATCTTATATTTTTCCCTCCTAATTGAACAATTACCTTGTCTTTCCATCAGATATTAATTTGGCAGGAGAGCCCAAACCTCACAGGTCAAAAACAACAAAGCGATCAGCTGGAGATATGTACAGGTAGGGAAAAATGTCTTCTGATGTATTTTCACCCATTTTATTGTTTTGTTTCAATTACCAATTGTTTTGTTGCCAAAAGTTTTAATCATTTTCTAAAATCTCTCCAGCTGTAGTTCTACTTTCGAACTTGATTATGATTTCCAGAGAGATTATTATGACAGGTAAGATCTGCACAAACAGTGTGCCAGTGTGGATTTAGAAATGTGTGCTGACTTTTCAATCTGCTTGTTTTGTGCAGAATGTATTCATACCCTTCCCGTGTGCCCCCTCCACCACCACCACCTCTATTACGGGCTGTGATCCCTTCCAAACATCCACGGGTCAGTGTGAGTGGGGGAACCAGCCGCCGCACCAAGTCCAGCTTTTCCACTTCATCCAAGAGCAGCCAACGGACATCTTCTCAAACCCGTCAGTGCCTTTTTTTTTTTAATTCTCCCTCTCTAGAGGGGTTCATTTTAATCTGCCAGTGACAAATGCATTAAAAAAATATTGATTGATTTTTTGTCTGCATTGTCATTATTAGCCTTCCTTTTCTCATTTTACATTTTTGACCTTGGTTGGCTTGTCAGTTGTCAGTACATGCGTTCAGGGTTTTTTTTCTTTCAGTGAAAGCAGATGACCTCCAAACTATTAAGAGAGAGCTTGCTCAAATCAAACACAAAGTTGACTATCTTCTGGAGAGTCTGGACAGGATGGAGAAAGACCACAACAGGAAATCTGGTAACATTCTTCATGGATTCCCCCAGGGTTTTTGTAGCAGGGTCACCAGACAATGTCAAAATGGGCCCAGACAATAATCAGTAATCCAAAGAATTTTATAAATTATTTAAAATACCATTATGCCTAAACTTATTCCTAATATGTCTTTAACTACGTTGTCATAAAAAAGTAAAAAAGATCAGTCAAAAAATCAGTCAAACAGAATTATGAATTGAATTTATATTATTACTATTGTTTTTGAAAGGTTGAAGCCAGACTTGAGAAAATTTGTCTGTTATGATGTAGATGCCTGCAATCTTATAATAACTGACACTACAGTTACATCAGTTTCACTGATGTCAGTTTATTTTTAATGTTAGCATGACATCTTTTCAGGCTTTTGAAATGTCCCTCAACCATGATAAAAAACAAAAGGTCTGTTTTCAAACAACAGAAATGATTACATTCTCCAGTTATTCTTAATCATTCTGACTTGAACCTGAGGGGGTTTTTATATTTCACTAGCAGAATATGTCCATTATGTATTCTCAGAATGAAACTGGCCTGATCCCCGTTTGCCCCAAGTGTCTTATGGGATATTTTTTTTCTGTGAACAAAGATAAAATTTGTATTTTAGAAGGGGGAAACTTGAGTGGCTTCTTTATTACAGAGAGCCGAAAAGCTTCCAGGAAACATCTGTTTTTATTTACCTGTATTTTATATGACCCTGTTTCAGAATAATTCTACAGGAAAATTTCAGTAAAATATTAAAAGACATTTTTTTTTTTTAGTTTTGCAAACATAACACTCATGAAGGCTTGATAACACTGGTAAATCTTGAATGTCAGTGATTTTTTTAAAATATTAGTAGCGAGGACAGATTGTTTTTAGTTTAGTCTTTAATTTAGTTTTTAATTCTTTTTCATTCATATCGCCAATAACATGAATTTGATGTTAAGTATGATTACTATTTTACCATGTCACGGCACACTATGAGCTTTAAATGTCTGATTTTCACTTATTAACTTTCTGCTTCTTTTCTGGTGTCTGACCACATGGGGGTAAAAATGAAAGTGAAACAATTCAGTCATATTTGGTTTATTTAATTAAATGTTCAGCATTTGATATGCTAGAAATATGGAAAGTACTACTCTCGTTCATAAAAAATCATTTGAGCTTAGCAGCTCCTTTACTCTTTTTCATCGTTGTTTTTTTGTTTTGTTTAGACTTAAACATTGTAACTAAAAAGCAATGATCTCCCTTTATCTGTGCCTATTATTTACTAAAATTTAGTTTACTTACACAGGAACAATTACGTTCCATTAAAATAATTATTTCATATTGCATCCTGCACTGGATATGGGTCATAAAAGATTTAGACATTCACAGGGGGAAAATCAGAAAACCGCCGAAACTGGTATAACTTGCTGGATCATCATAAACCCAGGTGTTCTGCCAAAGTTGTGTAGAAATTTGATCACCGGTCTCCAGTGTGAGAACAACACCATTGCTGGCATTACCATTGGCGGTAGGCTTCCAAGAATGCAGAGAGCACTGGGTTTCACCATTCTTCAAGAGACTGACTGCCATTGTTGTTCCACCATGACTATGACCGTAAAATCTTAAGTAATAGGCTCCTTTCACTGGTGCTGTGAAAACACCTGCAATGCACATGTACAACGTAGCCACAGAAAATATATATGAAGAGGATTCTGCATTTGTCATGATATTCTCTTTAAAGAACTTACCAGTATTTGGGTCATAGGCACCTCCAATATTACTGAAGACTTTTTTGTAGACCAGAGTTTTCGGAGTATCAATGGGCCCAGTGTATCCTGTTCCAGATTCCAGAAGTCCAGCAGAAAAGGCAACCTTTTTGGCTGTGAATAAACGAATGGACTGGTTTGAAATATATAATAAAATAAAATGTCATTTAAAACATTAAAATGTATATGGGAACAAAGTGAATTTTACTTGCCTTCATTCTCTTTTTGGAAAAATTCCATCTTATTTTGTGAATCTTGTTCTAGGGTTTTCAAAGCTGTTAGGAATATACATTGATGTGATAATGTTACTAAACAAAGAATTTAAACCGATTTAAGTTGTAAATTCTTTAAAATAGTTCATAAATTGTAATGATTTTTCCATAATGACATATTAAAAAAATAAGAAATGCGACCACTTTTCCACCTTCATTCTCACGCAATACTTTGGCCAGTGCTTCTTCTAATTTTTGTATCCTTTCTTCCATGTTTTTCAGTTTCTCGAGCTCAGCAATAATGTTTACATTTGGTGAAAATAAATCATCTGCAAGTGAGCTCCCAGCACAGAGCAGCAGTACCATTTGTAACACCACCATCGTCAGTACTCAAATTACTCCTGTAATTATTCCACAATTCAGCTTTGAATTGCAAACGCTGTTACAAAAGCTTTGAAACTTTGTATTAAGGTTGCATAAGTTCGAAAACATTTGTACTTTAGACTGATGTAAGGGTTTTGTTTATTTTAGTAATCCATTAGGACAAGTCAGATGTAGACATGAGGAGGGGAGAGTGGGGACGGTTGCAACACTTTTTGCATTTGCTTTAGTTTCTCAGAGACTCTTTGCATTAGAAAGCCAGAATTATAATACAATAAAGCCACATCAGTCAGCTACTCACCCACATTGCTGTAACACGTGCAAATATGATTATATACATACAATTTATTCTTGAATAGACAAAGTCAAATGTTGCAACTGACCCCACAACAGGACGGTTGCAACATTCATTAAAATGTAATTAAAACAATTCTTAAATATAATTTTGCAATTTCTTTATTTTATTTGTGCATAGACATGATCTTTAATAAGTTAAATTGGCTGTATAAAAACCAAAGAATAGTAAATGGGGGGAAAAAAACATTTTCAAGTAACAACCATGTCTTGGTTAATTATTACAATACATTTGAACTACAAAATATTAATTTAATCAGAGTCAAGACACTGAAATGTAATAATAGCCTACTTCTGTTAACATAGGCTTATGTGAAAGGTTACTGAACTGAGGCCATTGCATAAACATATCCACTATCTTAAGACTGTCTTAAGAGCTAGTTTGACCAACTAGCAGTTAACAGTGGTAATCAGTCTTACTTTTAAAAAAAATTCAGATTAGACAAATCTACCATTTTATGGAACTGACTTGAGATCACTTTTGAAATGAGTCCACTTTTACTTAAATAAAAAAGGAAAAATGCCTAACTATTGAAAGGGGTTCTTTATTAATACATAAAATTACAATTATGTAATGTTATGGCAAGCTTTTACATCAATGTTGTGGTAAGGGACAGCATGTTGGGACAGTTGCAACAACGTGTTGCAATTGTCCCCACACTGACAGCCGTGACAAAACTTGGTATATTAGCTTGAATATCTTTGACACATGCTAACTATGCCTATTAGAAGCTAAGAAAACACAGATATAAATCATATGTTTTTACAATGCTTCACGCAAACAACTTAGTATGACAAAAAATCTGATGATTAAAAAAAATACTTTTTTACCATGAAAATTATTATTTGTAGAAGGAATGGTCACATGTGCCTGATTTCATCCAGGAAGGATGAGGGGCTGATTGAGCATGTGTAGTATGAATATCATCACTGTAGCTCATTCCTGATTGAAGAAATCAGCCATGTTGCAACCGTCCCCACTCTACCCTACACTAAACGTACATTTTTAGCATAATAAATGCATTATTGAATTATTAACTCCATGCAGACCTATTATTAATCATTACAAATAAGTCGAATCTGACCTAAATTATGAGCATATTAAAATACTTACAATTGGACAGAAGAGACTCCGTGGTCTGTTGGCTCAAAGTCATAAATCAGTGCCCCAGGAGGCAGATTTTGTTATAAAAATAAAAGTTAATTTATTGATTACAATTAGGTTTTCTAGCAGTAAAAGTAATCTATCTTCAAATACTCTATATAAGTTAAAGTACAAATATTAAAAAGTTTTGTAAAACCATTGTGTTGATTATTTGCAGTGCGTTTCTGTATTTCAGTCATTCTTGAGAAGTGGGACAAAACGGTGCAAAATTGAAAAAATAAAACCTTGTACTCAGACAAATGAAACTACATTTATGTATCTTATATGTACTAAGCTACTGAGCTATGCTTTGATACAACCTCCCAACTTTTCTCTTTTTTAACAAAATGGGCTTTTTTACCTTTGACTGTGTAATAAAATTTCAGCTTTATCTTTAACAGCATTCAAGATGTTATTAACATTTCAAAACACATTCTCGTGTTAGCAGACAGATTACACTTTCACATGTGACCAACAATTCCACAACAAATATAAAATATCATAATGAAATATTATCAAAATATTCAACTGACGGAGGTGACAGAACTGACAGAGTTGACACATCTGACGGAGGTGACGAAAACCTGAATTTGTAATAATTTTAACTATCAAAATTGAATCAGTCAATTACTGTATTAAAACAAACAACAAACAGTACTGATGAAGATGTTTTCTTAATTTGCTGGTGTTTTTTCTATTTGCATGTGTTTTTTTTTTTTCATTTGCAGCACGTTGAGCTCTCTCGGCCACCGTAGATTTGAGATAAAAACGTTTTTAACATTTGTGAATGATGAAGGGTTCTGTTTAAGTCTGGTGAGGCTGTCAAAAGACCATTTGCACTGTAGAGAGAGACTGCTTGGGTGGAGGCAGGGATGGTACTTTGTCTCTCATCACCGCAGTAAAGATAGTTTGCGGTTTGATATTCAGATTTCTTTTGGCTATAAATACGCAGCGCGCTGTCATAGACATGCAAATAATACCGAATATCATTCTCCATGATTTGTGAATAGAGGTGACGCTGTCCTTCGGGCCGAAATCAGGTTTTTTTTCGTAGCGACTTTTCGTTTCGTTGGACACTTAGAGGAATGAAACCGGTGTCATCTTCACCAGCTTGATCTGACAATTTTTTCACAGCAAAGCTCTTGTCCGTAAATCCCTTGGTAAGTCCGCTAGTAAGGAATGTGAAAGAAAGGCGTTCTTCATGTTTAACGTCTATTACCAATAAACACGCAGACTGCTGGAATACAAAAACATTGTTTTAGATCGAGCTCGATTTGTGAAAACGTTCACAATCGCATTTTATCGTGTGGCAGTGTTTATCTTTGCTCTGCCCCCCGTTTTTTGTAGCCTATAATAATGTCATTCGGTGCTGTTCCTGTGAATAACGGTTTCTAATTCATTAGGTAAATGAGC